GGGGGGGAGCTGGAGTCTTTATTAGTACCATTCTGGCAGAAAAGGTAGGGGGGTGATGGTTTGTTCGGGTCTTTTTGTTGTGTGGGGGTTTTTTTGTTTTGTTTTGGTTTGGGTTTTTTTGTTCTTTTTTTTTTTTTTTTTTAGTTTTGCCGTCGTTTGTGTGTAATCGTGTGTACCTTGCTTGCAATTTTAAGGCCTGCCTTCTCCTTTCTCCTGTACCCTTAATTTATTTTCTGCCAGCCCTCTTCTCCTTTGCCCTGCTCTACCCCTCTGCCCCCCTCGTCCGCCTCTCCCCCCTCTTGGTGGCTCTGGCAAGGGTGGTTGGACGGTCTGCCCTTCTGGTTGTCATTGCTTCCTCTGGACTTACTAGAAAGATGGCAGTTGGTGAAAGATCTTTTTCAGTTGCACTCCCCAGGCTTATTGTGAGAGGAAATGAGATTGAAAACTGCTGCCGTGCAGGACGACTGGCATACTCAGGAGGGTGATCTCAGTAAACATGGCCCTGGACCACACTTAACGAGCATGACCAAGCTGACATAGCAGTCAGACAGGAGTTGTCTGTATGGCACTGCAGAGGCCTAGTGCTTGATACTCTTGATTATATTATTTAAAGGAAGCTTGCCTTAGAAAAGGTTTTTGCAGGTTTGATTTTTGTGTTAGTTCCGAAGGAGACAGCAATAAATACAATGACTAGTTTGAGACTTGATTTTTAAGGGTTGAAAGTAATAAGACATTAATCCGAGGTCTTTTTAGAGAGAGAACTAAGTTAGGAGAGTGGCATTTTCTGTCCTTTAGATCACAAGTAGTTAGGCCTTCATTCTCAAGGATTAACAATAAACATGTGGTTTCTGTTAATATGTTAGATTAGATTTCATTTAATGAGCCTTTTTTTTTTTTCCTTGCCTTGTTTTCCCTCCCCATTGGGAGATCCAAGAATATTTTGTTTATATGTGTAATACATTTTTGACATTTAGTTTCTTGTCATCTGTGGCGAGAGATAGTTGTATCCTTGCTTTATCTTACAGTCACATTTCACGTTCTGAAATTAAAAGATACTTTCATTTTTTTCATGGGGAGGATTCTGGTCTTTTTGCACTGTGAGATTTCCGGCTCAGTTTAAAACAAGAACATTGAAGTAAACGCTTTGGCATGTCTGAGATGGTTCACAGACCCCAGCTGTTTTTGGAGTTTAGTGAGTGCGTTTGAATCTGCAGATTTATATACAGTTACGTAAAAGAACACTGTCCAAAGCATTGACACAACACTTGGCGTGCCTTAAAATATGTAATTTCATTTTGTATAAAGACTTTGATTATAGATGGATGCTTCTCTTTTAGACCGGGGTTATACATAAGTAAAAGGTGTGCCTACATGCTTCCTTGTGAAGTTTGTGGACATTTGCATGGAAAATTGTTATCTTGATGTATTATCCTGCAAGCTTTAATGCATCAGGATTCAGTTTGTTGTACATGTCTATTTATGGTGCGAGAATATTTGTGACCACTAATAACTGTCGTACTTCATAAATAACCTCTATAAAATTTTGGGCCACCCAGCATGCTGGTTAAGTGCCATTTGAAAGTTTTATCACCTTCTCAGTGCTGATTCTTTCATAAGCTGAACATACAGGCTTTCTGTTTTCCTTCTGACAGGAGTGAGTTGTAGGTGATTTCTTAAAATGGGAAGTTGTACTGTTTTGCTCTGGAATGTAACAAATCCAGTCTGTTTTGTGACAAAAAAGATGGCACCAGTAGAATTAGAGAAAAATGTTTTGGATCAGTTTGAATTTACACTTGAAAAGAGAACTGTTGGCAAATCAGTGGAACAGTCTTAGATTTAATCAGTTTAACTGCAATCTCGTTTTACTTGTAGTCAGAATGTTAAGTGTCAGTTACTGCCAGTTTAGGGATAAACTAAAGCAGAGGCAGTGTTCGAGGACTGCTGCAGGGCTCACTTCTTTCAGGTCAGCGTACAGCCATATTGTGTATAAGAATGGAGAACTGAAACTGTGACTTCTCTGTGAAATATATCTATTTTCCCTCTGGATAGCTGTGGAGCAAATATACATAGTACCCAGCTGTTTCAGTGTCCAGTCTTGCAATCCCTTCTTCCATATGTTTCCTTTCATAAGGAAACTCACTGACCCTTTGAACCTCCAGCTGACTTCAGTCAGACTATGGGTTTTGTTAGAAGTACTTGGATACAGAAATAGTTGTCATTTTGACCTCAAATTCGCATGATCAGTGGGAGACATTTTCAGTAAAGGTGAATGTCCCTGTAAACTAAAATCTATGCTATTTCTTTTAACTTGGCTGTGAAGGAAAATGTAATGTTTAAACTAATTTTGGAAGTAGTATTTCACAGTCTTTACCTGTGACAAAAATTGCTGATTATGCAGGCCGTCTGGGGGGTATGATAGACATACTGATGGGAAAATAAGGGATATTTGTAGGAGAGAGAAGAGACTTAATGAAACAGTTGTAACAAAGCAAACATTATAAAACTTACTTCACAGTTTTTAAGTTAAATTATATCTACCATACGTAGCTTTTCTAACAGTGTAACCCCTTTTTCCTGTTAATATGTTGATTTGAGTTCTGGGGTTTTTTTTGGTCTCTAGGTCACTATAATTTGTAGTTTCCATTGGGAAGTGATTTAAAGAGAAAATGCCATTAATGTCTGAACAGATAGTCATGTACTTAGGATAATTCAGAAATTTTTTTGAGATCTTCATTTTTAAGCAACTCCCCCACCCCCAAGTTACTAGTGTAAAAAGATTGCATTGGGATTTTTGTTGCTTTTGGTTTGTTTCATGAACCGTTTTTTATTCATTAGCGGGCTGCCTGGGTAAGGTACAGACTACTTTAGATTTGCTGTCTAAATAAAAGTCTTGTTTTAAAACAGGCATTTCTCATTAATTCAAGTTTTAGAAAAAGCTGTACCAAAAAATCTGAATTAGGACAGAATTTGACCTGATAGCATTTGGAAAAGTACCTTCTGCTGTGTTTGTATGATATTAATGAAAGAGCTACAACTTTTGTTGTGGCATTTTAAAATACCGATGTTATAATATTTAAAGTAAATAATAATTTTATGCCACTCAGTTTTCAGTTACTGTTAGGGATTATTGCCAGAAGCTCATGTTTTGTCTAATGCATCAATTAGTCATTACAGTTAATTCTTAACCTTCTTAAGTGTATTAAATTAACTGGGTAAAGAAAACTTATGTGTGAGAGAAAGAGCAATAACTTCTGAGTAGTTCTGCTAATTGGTAAGTTTTTAGCAGAATAAACATAACTTCTTACTCACTTGAGTCTTCATCAAAAGCATTAAAGAGACTATATGATTTTCCTTGGGTACTGCCCCCCCTGTTTTTTTTCCTCTGTTAGACTCTGGTTTAAAAAGATTTTTTTATTGCTTTGGTTTCAGAATTACAAGTGGACTTTGCAGGTTTGGCTGGACTTGTTTACTTTCTGTTATTCACTCCTGTTTTTGTTTGAGGCATACCGCTTGGTAAGAAAAGAGAGAAGACATAGAGGGGGAGATAGTGAAATAGCTATTTTTTGTGTAAAACTGAGAGGTACAAGGAACTTGCAATTAGGGATTTTTTTCTCATCCCTTTCATCTAGCCATGTGTTAAGTGTACCGTCAGTTTCAAGAAAAGATGAGTGCTATAGCTGTACCCACAGCATTGTCTGGAGGGAGGGAACCTTGAGATAGAAACTTTAGAGACAGGAGCGTTAAAGCAATGACTTACAAATGGCCGTGCTGGAAGGAAACTTTGAGATAGCTTTGGGTTTAGAACTGACTTTGAGCAGGCTTATGTTATTTTAAGAAGTTGTATGCCATCACAGTGGTGGGCGGGGGTGACTTCAGTGAGAATATTGTGCTCATGTGTCAACTTGGGGGGGTAAAGAGTAGAAAATGCTTAAGAAACCTGTAAATTCCAGAGTAATTAAACACTTCTTTTTTATAACTAACATTGACATTTGCAGGTTTGGAGCAAGTCGTGGAGGTCCTCTTCCTCCAAAGAAATTTGGTAATCCAGGGGAACGTTTACGTAAGAAAAAATGGGATTTAAATGAACTGCCCAAATTTGAGAAGAATTTTTACGTGGAACATCCAGAAGTGGCCAGGCTTACTCCGGTAAGTTTTCAGATTGCGTTTGTTCATTTTGCCTGCAATAAAAAAATGTTACAAGTGGAAAAACTTGTCCTGGGAAGTCTGGGACAGTATATAACAGAGCTGTCTCTTCATTAAGCTTGATTGGTATGTGTATACTCTGTGGGATACTGGTCCTAGTTGCCTTCAGTATTTAACATTAGCGAAGGTGGTGCTTCTACTATTAGCTGTTTTTGTATGAGATATTTTACGTTTGGTCATTTATAATTCATCATCATAATGTTTGCCTGATCTAGCTGTTCATCAGCGTAAAGAAGACTTGGAGGGCTTGAGAGTTGCAGTAATGGGGAGGCCCTGAAAGAACCTGAAATAGTGACCTCAGAGTGGGAGAAATAAATGAGGAATATTTGAAATAATATTTTATCATAATAATTCAGGCTGAAGGAGGCCGGGGAGATCTAGTCTAATCCTCTGCTTAAAGCAGGGCTGACTACAAAACTAGAGCATGTTTTTTAGCACCTTGTCCTTTCAAGTTTGCATATACCCAGGGATGGTGAGAGTTTATCCTCTCTGGGTTGTTGTCCCAGAGCTTAATATTTCTCATGGTATTTCCCCCCCCCCCAATGATTATTTGCAACATATTCTCTATAACAACCCATTGGGTAGTTGAAGGTAGCAGTTAAATTCCCTTATTAGTCTTCTCTTTCCCAAGCAAAACAAATCCAGTACTCCCAGTCTTTATTCGTACCACCTGTACTTAAGCCTCTAGCTTTACCCCATAATTGGACATGCTCTGTTAAAACAATGCTCTTCTTACACTGGGGGGCTCAAAACTGAATGCAGGACTTTGTGTTTACTCTGTAGATACAATAATCTCCCCTTCCTAACTGACTTTTAAGTCTAGAGTCTTTTTTTCCCCTCTCTTTTATGTATTTTAATATTAAGAAATTAAGATATTTCATTCTTAAGGAAACAAACAAACAAACAAAATGTTGTTACCCAATTACCTAGACTTACAAATATTTATGTGGCATTCATGAGGTATTTATACAGCGCAGAAGATTTGAAGGAGGCATTGGCTTTTTAAAGAGAAACTTGAACTACTGCATCACAGTTGGCGTTAGTTGCTGTAGCTGTCTTTGCCGTAGCCAACTGAAAATATTTTAACTATTTTCCCACTTGTTTTCTCTTTTTCATTTAAGCTCAAGAAATTCTCACAAATAGTAAATTTATTGCTTTGGAAAAGTGCATGTTTGATATTGATATGTATCTTTCTATTGATTTCTAATTTGCACTAGAATAGCTTTCTGCTTGTTTGTAGTATATTAGGGCCTCTTTATTTTGTTCAGTTCTTAACACTGCCACATAAACCATGTTTCTTATGTGTTCCTCTGTTTCTAATAACTTTTGAAGCTGTTGACCATTTCTGGCCTCTGGAAGAAGAGTAAAATGTGTAAAAATACTATATTAATACAGTTTTCATTAAAAAGGGCTGGTTGGAAGAAGAGAGGGACATTAGGCCTTCTAAACTACTTAGAGAGCTCATACCTCTGAATATTGTGTGAGTTATGTGATAGCTGAATCTCAAGATAAAATCCTTAGGAAAGCAGTTCTTTCCAGATCTCTGTTTCAGTTCAGTTCTCTAATGAAGCTCTTACCTAGAGTTGTGAAGAAGCATGCATTTTTACTGACATTTGACCTTTGTCTTTGCAATTTTTTTTCCAAATAAATAGTATGAAGTTGAAGAGTTGCGAAGAAAGAAAGAGATAACTATTCGGGGAATGGAGGGCTGCCCCAAGCCTGTATTTGCCTTCCACCAGTGTAGCTTTCCACGTAAGTATTTTGCCATTCTTTAAGATAATGAGGATTACTCAAAACCAGTAACTGTTTAGGCCTGTTCTGTTTTCTGAAAGGTCTTCTGAAACCTCAGTTATCCTTTAAGACATTTTTTCTTTTCTTAAATTCTTAGAGTATGTGATGGATGCCTTGATGGACCAGAACTTCACAGAACCCACTCCAATTCAGTGCCAAGGCTTTCCACTAGCCCTGAGCGGTCGTGATATGGTGGGCATTGCGCAGACTGGCTCTGGGAAGACGCTGGCAGTATGTATTCTTCTTTTTTATTTATTTGACTACTTTTCCTAGTTACTTTGCAGAAATTAACCCTTGGCTACTTGTTAGTAGTTTTTGGGCTTGTCAGTACTACAAGCATAAAGTGAGATTATTACATGTTTTTAAAGCTTGCTTTATGCATCATGGGTGACACTGAAGTCTCAACTAAACTGTCTTATTCACAGGAATAAATTTTGTGTGTCTTTCTTTTGATGCTTAGTCACTTCTCTTTGGTCTGTACTTACATTGTCGTTGAAAAAACAGTATGTGCTCTTTAGCATACTTGTTTTGTTAACTATGCAAGTTAAAATAAAGAATGGTTGAGTCTTCAAGGTTCACTTTATCTGCAGTGGTTAAGAAGGAATTTTATCCTTTATGAAAAGCATTTGTTAGAGCCAAAATTGCTTGTTCCTGCTAACTTAGATTCCAAGTTTAAATGAGCATTCCTTTCAGAGGTGTTGAGCAACTATATTTTGTGGTTACATCAAAGCAGGTATGGTTGGTCAGCAGCTCTGAAAAACTTCTGTTGGATAACGAGTATCTGGTTTTGCAGAATCCTGATTTTTATATAGCCAAGGTTTCTTGCTGTCTCTCACATCAAGTATTGTTTTCTCGAAGGGATGTTAGGCTAAATGAGTTGTTGCTATGATCCAGTTGTCATAGCAGGTGATCATTGGCACTGAATATTGAAGTCCTGTGTCTTGACTTAAAGTTCTTCTGTTTTAGTATTTGTTGCCTGCAATTGTTCACATCAACCACCAGCCATATTTGGAGAGAGGGGATGGCCCAATTGTAAGTGCTTTTTGATTCTCTTCCTTTTTGTATGTATGGCATGCCATTGTTAATGAGATATGTATTTTATTTAATTGATATATCAGAATAGTGAGTAGATAAATGTTAACTATCACAATGTGAACATCCCACTCATTAGTTGAAATTCTGTGCAATTGATGATATAGTCTAAAGATATTTAAATGTTTTAGCTAATAAAGAGCAGATGATCCAGTTTTGCTTATGGTGTCTGTGCGGAGCCCTTAGGTTAGGGGTGTGTGTGAAGCGTGGCTAACCTGAATCAATTCCTTTTGCAGTGTCTGGTTCTAGCACCTACTAGAGAGTTGGCCCAGCAAGTGCAGCAGGTGGCTGATGATTATGGCAAATGCTCAAGACTGAAGAGTACCTGCATATATGGAGGAGCACCCAAAGGTCCCCAAATCAGAGATCTAGAAAGAGGTAATTTTAAAATGGGTGTTTGCAGTGTCTGGAGGAGGAGATATGGTAAAATCTCTGTAAAAATAAAACTATCTTCTTAAAACCTGTTTGGAGGAGGGTGTGCATGGATGAATGGCTATCTCTTTCTCCAGTTACAACGATAGTGCAGTGGTATTTCTTTTCTTTGTTGTATAGCAGCTTATTTGGATATTAGATTTCCTTTCCATTTTCTCTTTGAACTTTTGAAGATCATCAGGACATAGGAAAGGAGAAAGGAAACTTGGCAGAAAGAGAACAGGTTAATTTGAGGAAATGCAGTAGCAGCAAGTTTAAGGAATGATTTTTTTTTAAGCCAGATCGCATGTTTTCTGCCAGGTTTGTTCAAATAATCAAACTTAATTTCAGGATGTATAGAAACTTATTTAGGCAGTGGGTTTTGGTTTTTTAATTGTTCTTAAGGACTAAGCTCTATTTCTTTTCATGTACCTCATAACGTTCTGTAACTGCCTTTCCGTACATAGCAAGGGGCTGGAGGTGGGAATGATGAGGAACCGTGGTTCTGCAGCAACCACTGAACACAGTACTGCTCTAGTGACCTAACCTTCATATCAAGGGCTAGTTACTTACAATTTCAAATGCAAGAATGTGCTGATTGCTTTCATCTTCACTAGATCTAAAAAACGTAGTAGAACTTAGTGAAAAGATGTGAGAACTGTTATCAAGGTAAACTTACATATACTGACCTACTCAAGAAATCAAAGTTTCACTTACTGCTGCAGTTTGAAGAGTCATTGTTGAAAACTGCAGTAATGTGATAAAGGCATGCATGGTAGAAGGCTGTGGGATAGCTCTTTTCAAGAAATTGGTCATGAATTCCAATTCAGTGGAGGAGTCAAAGGTTACATGAAGAGAGCTTGGGAGGACCAGATTTGTGGGTTTTTGCCCACCTTTCTGGAGTGCTGTAAAATAGGTTTTCTCCTGCTTATGAAGAAAACACTTTGGTTAGAGGATGTGGGCAGGTTTAGTGGTTTTAGTTCTTTTAGGTGTTACTGTCTTTGGATGATTGGTTAGTATTTTCTGCAGCAAAGATTTTAATAGAGTCCAGAAAACATCTTTTTGGGCATTTAGTGAATTTACTTTGAAGGAGTATATATCTGACAACAGAAATTGCAGTTTATTCAGTCTCCCTGTCAGACCAGTGGCTCCGTTAGAAGTCTTAATTCTTTATAGAATTATATGAGCTTTATAGAAACTATAAGTATGCCCAGCTTTGTCAGCTTTGAGGAGTCCAGATTGACACAGACAGAAAGGCAGGGTTGCCACCCAATACTCTGCATCTGTAAGTGCAGTATCAAGAAAGCTCTTTTTCACCCATCTGCTTCCCTAAACTTATGTGCTGTGGACATTTCAGTGACACTGAAGGAGCCCACCTGTAAGATCTGAATTTTGTTTTTATGCTAACAGATACAGGCAGGATGGTTGTCACTGTTGGTACATGATTACTCAGTATTAAAGTTCATGCTTTGGCTTTATATATTAAAAAAAGAAGTGGATTTGAAAGTAATTTGACCTATGTAGCAAGAAGAGCATTTCATGTTTGCTTAACATGTGGAGTTTAGCTAGAGAGCTTTCTAGACTGCGTAATTCTGGATGAAGGTGGTCAGGCTTGAGTAGAAGCTTATTTTACTTCTGAGTTTTGGACAGCTCTTCACTGGTGTTTTCTGACCTGACAGTAAGATTTTAGCTTCTATACTGCGTTCATTATTCTAATGGCACTGTAACAGTAATTTCAGAATGGAAAAAAAACATTAGAAGAAACTAGGGCTTCTACTGAAATGACTCAGTCTTGGGTAAGAATGAGGGTGGTGCTTTTTTTTTAAACAATTTTGCTCTTGAAGATGATTCATTCTGACTAAAAATACCAATTGACATTCAAATGAAGAGCCTTACTCCTTTTTGTCATTCTTTTCTGAAGGTGTGGAGATCTGCATTGCTACACCAGGTCGCTTGATTGACTTCCTTGAGGCAGGAAAGACCAACCTTCGTCGGTGTACGTACCTGGTGCTGGATGAAGCGGACAGGATGTTGGACATGGGATTTGAACCCCAAATTCGTAAAATTGTTGACCAGATAAGGGTGCGTGAACCTTGTAAAGGGACAGCCTCCTTCGGTTTCCCATTCAAAGTCCAATACTTTAAATAAATTCATTTTTCCTTTTTCTTAGCCTGACAGACAGACTCTGATGTGGAGTGCCACCTGGCCAAAAGAAGTGCGGCAGCTTGCTGAGGACTTCCTGCAGGACTATGTTCAGATCAATGTGGGAAACTTGGAGCTGAGTGCCAACCACAATATCCTGCAGATAGTGGATGTATGCATGGAAAGCGAGAAAGACCATAAGTAAGCTGATTTTCTTACCATCTCACTTTTTTTGGTTGTACTTCAAAATCTACAAGGCTTTGTAAGCCAAGCGTAATTCTGAATAGTGAAGTTACTTGTATTATTTAACCTTTGAGTGTCACAAAATAAGGAAGTCCTGTAATTAACTAATCTGTTGCATATATTTTAACCATACTGTTGTACAACAGACAAATTCTCTGTGATACTGACTGACTTCTGTGGATGTGTGTTGTGTATGTTCTCAATGTAGACTGAGAGAGTGTGCTCCTATATTCTTGTATATATGAATATACGTCTTAGCTCTCATGTCTATTTTAGACTGATTCAACTGATGGAAGAAATCATGGCAGAGAAGGAAAACAAGACTATCATCTTTGTGGAGACAAAGAGGCGATGTGATGATCTCACTCGAAGGATGCGCAGAGATGGGTGATTAGCCTTCCCCCTCCCTCGCCTTGTTTCTAGTGGGAAACAGAAATTGTAATCAAAAGCAGTAAGGTTTAAATGTTCATGATGCTATTGTTGGGAACAACTTGTCTGTTCTTTTCTTGGCTGAATTCCGTCTTAGTTTCCCAGAAGGTTCCAGTCCATCAAAACATTAGTGCAAGAGAGAATATTTGTAAGCTGTGCAGCCTTTAGTGTATCAGAATACCGATACACTGATCAGGACTGAATCAATATAGCAAATGTGATTTTGGCTTAGATGGTTATTTGTGTAGGTAGTGGGTTTAACGTGCAAGGAAGAAATCAGTGTATGTGCTAGGTAGATACAGGCCAGAGGAGGATGGGGAATAGAATATTTCTCAAGTCTTTTATTTTTTGTCTTTTTACTGAAATGTCAATAAAGCTTCCTGTTGCCTTTAATGTATGTACTTTCTGTCTATACTAATGTGCATCTCTGTTTGGCAGTTGGCCAGCTATGTGTATCCATGGAGACAAGAGTCAGCCAGAAAGAGATTGGGTGCTTAATGGTGAGTCCATCACTGAGGGGAGAATAACTCGGGCTGCTGTATGTAATTTACTGAGACATCGTTTTCTCCAGTCAGTGTTTTTTTGTCTCTAAACCCAATAGATGCATTTCGAAAGAGCTTATTTTGCCTTTGTACTGTTAATTTCAGTACTTGTATCTGCCTTTTTTTTTTTTTTCCTTTTTTTTGGACGAAAACACAATGGGAAAATTGCGTAACCTGGAGAGTTGGATTTTGAAAAATATTTGACACATCATAACCTGACTTGATGGGTTTTCTGAAATTGACTTATCTAGATTCTGGAAAATGAGCGTTTAGTGTAAATGAAGTTCAGGTAACTTTATTTTTTTGAAAAATCTTACTTCATAGCATGCTTTGTTTTACAGAGTTTCGTTCTGGAAAGGCTCCTATCCTCATTGCTACCGACGTTGCATCTCGTGGGCTAGGTTTGTACACATAGACCACTCTTGCCTATTGCTTCATATTTTTATTCTTTGGACTGAAATATGTTTTCTTTAAAAAAAAAATTCAAAGCGTGATTTTCCCCCACATGTGAAATACGTTTTTTAACATTAATCTTTTTTTTTTCTTTCATATTCAAAGTCTCTTCCTGCTCCTAATGAACAGGCTTTGGTCTGCAGCAAGGCCTAGGCATGACCAATCGATCGCCAAGAGGGAGAAGAGACGTCCAATTATGCAACCCAACCCTTCCACCACACTCACTTCTTCCCCAAATCCAGCTTTTGTTGCTGGGTGATAGGGATGGATTGCTCTCAGTTCAGAGCGTGTCAGATAAAGTTCAAGTAGGAAGTTGTGGGAGAGCATTTCGACAGCAAATATCTAATATTCTCCCTGTATGACACACCACAGATTTGAACACACCAACCCCAGTGTACATGCATGTTTACCCCACAGATGTATTCACATCTGAGAAAGCACTACTCCCAGATCTTTGGTCTTGACATGTAACCTTCCCTCCTCTGTGCTCCTTCTAGGCAGGACCACTGAGATTATATGTGGCCTTTAACATAGTGTTACCTGAATGTGTTATTGAAGCAAAATTGCACAGCTCTGTTCTGGTGGTATGAAAATGATCTGTCTGGATGCATCAGTTGTGCCTCCGTTTTTTAATAAGCGTATGTGTATTGTGAAACACTTTGTGTGCTAAGCACAGTCCTTATGCATCTGCCCACTCTAGAAGAGGAGGTTGACTTCTAAAGTGCTCAGAGTTTAATAATGGACATTGAATATTCCCCCCTCCCTGAGTTTGGTAGAAGATGCTACTTGGGGGTTGATGTGTCATTGTAGTAAATTTTAAACAAAATTATTGCAAGTCATTGCAGATAAGCTCAGAAGACTCTAGCTGTTAAAAATCTCAGTTTTCTGAGCTCTTTTTTCATATGCTGAAAGGGTTGCTGTGCTGTGCATCATATGGTCACTTTAATACAGGCTGACCATTACTAGACTTGGCAGCCTTTGTTCACACAACCTTCACCCCGCCTTCCCATCCCCCCTCAAAAATGTCCAACACTCCTCAGAGAGGTGATTCTATGGACTTCAGTCTCTGCCCTCTAGGGTCATGTCTGGACCTGTGCAGTTAGAACTTGGGCCTGTTGGGAGAAGGGACTGAGGCCTGAAACTAGTTTGTATGAAAGAGAGCTGCTTTCTCTAGCAGCATTTTTTAAACAGGCTTGCTATGTGCTGGTAGCTTCTTTGTGCATCTTGCCTAGACATTTAAAACAGCCTCACCCCCCTCAAAAAAACCACTCCCCCCAAAACTACTTAATTGGATAACACTTCAGAAAAGTCTCCCCAGTTCCCATCCTCCACTTCACCTGAGCTAAGGGGGAAAGGTACCAGAGTCTGTTTCTTGTTACTGAACAACATCTCTGCTTATTTTGGGGCCCTGAGTTTGCTGCTTCTTAAAATAAGTCACTTAACTGGCAAACTTCTGGACGACTTCCTCCAAGATCCTGGAAAGTGAAGGCTTCTACCTAAATAACATAAAACAGGGGCGCGCGCCTTTTGGCTGAGTCACCAGGGCTTTCCCTCTTCCTAATGGAACATTGGTTTCAAAAAAGCTTCTTCCAGGTAAGTTCTGAGTCCCGTACTGACTTCTTTGTGATAATTCCCTGGAGTGAGGTCCTCTCTCTGCACTGATTTTTTTTTTTTTACTTTATATTTTTGTTCAGTCTATTAAACTAAAACCATCGAATTTGTTTTGTTTTATTTTGTTTAACAGAAGCTTTGGTATCAGCTGCAGATCATTCTCAGTGCAGGGGTGGGGGCACATCCACAGTGATGGTCTAAATAGCTCTCTAGACTAGCATGTTTGCTAGTTTGTATCTCTGCTGATTAATAATCAGAGACTGTCTGTGCCATAGGGTCTTTTGATGGTCTGACAAAGGGAATGTTTCCCAAGTAGCTGTCAAAAATGATGTACAGTTTCAATTCTTGATCTTGCTACATTATTTCTGAAAGCACAGGAAGATTGCGAGTGTGCGCAAACACTTTGGAGTATGCTAGACTGGAGAAGCCGAGTCTTGTACTTAGGGCAAGTCTTTCTTCAGCAAGCTGCGTGCTCTACCAGGACCACTTTCTAGTCTGGAAAACACCCTTGCATTTTCCTCTTCCTGCCTTCCCATTCTTGCCACTCTTCCCCAGTCAAGTCATTTCTGTGTCTACATTGATAGCTACAATTCCCTGTGCTTTGTGCAGGGAAAGCACGTCCTTGTATCCTCTGTGGTAATTCAGGTTGCTTTGCTACTGATGGATGTGCAAAGTGGGACTGACTGAGGACCATGTAGCCTGCAGCTTGTCAGACTAGTTACACCCTGGCTGTGAAGATGCAATCTGTCATATGTACTCCTCTCTTTACTTCACTTTCCCCTTTTTTAAAAAAAACCAAACTGGTGCATCAAGGACCCTAGCTGGAGACTCGCGCAGCCCCCTGTGAAACCTGCCTTCTCACTCCCTTTTTTTGGTGTGATTCAGGACTTTGGAGTCAGCAAAGACTGAGGAGCCCCCCCCTTTGCTGTAATAAGAAACAGACATAAAGTCCCCCTCTTGTCACTACAACCCTCTTGTTTTTATTTTTTCTTACAACCCCTTTGAAATTGAAGCAGTCTGGGCAATAGATGCAGTCTGAACCTTTGGATGTTATTTTTGTATCTTCATTTTTTTGACAATTGCCCCCAAGAACCCCGAATAGGGGACAAAAAGCGTTGGAGGACCTGAAACTTTTACCTGAACCCAGGTTCTCCGGCGCTTCACAACCAAATGGGGCTACAGAGAAGCGTCTTAAGCCAGTTCACAGAGCGAGCGTGTGTGGGGACTTCTCGCTGCCACGGACCCTTGATGCATGCTCCCCGCGCTCCAGTGGTCCCGTGTCAGAGGGCGGAGTTTTCGAAAGGAGGCCGCCAAAAATAAAAGGCAAAGAGACGGGATCGGCTGCAGCGGTTTCCCACAGGAGGAGGGAGTGTGCATCGGTCTGGTAACAAACAGAGAATGTTTCTCTCTTTAAAAAAAAAAAAAAAAAAAGGAAATAACAAAAATCTGTGTTTTATCTTGGATATTTTCAGAATATTCTTAAAATGCAGATTTTTAATTATTTTTTTTGTGAGCTGTTAGGGCAATTACTGTAATACCGAGCTTTTTAAAGTATTGTATACTGTAGCAAATAGGTGCTTTTGGTACTCGAGGTGCTTTCACTGAAGTGTTACACTAACATTTACTTTGTTTCTGTCCCATAAGTTTACAAAGTCTGACTTCCCAAAAGGTGTGCAGTTCTTATCTCCTAAATTTTAATATTTTTTTGTATACAAAGCAATTTTGATAATTTCATTTCCGGCTTCCATCTGATACTGTAAGTAGGGAATTGTTAATGGAATTAAGGATTGTCCAAATTACAGAAGTTTGCCAGAACTGGGCAGAACAGCATGGCGAAATGTTAGTGCAATGCATTCTGGTGGTAACTACAAAGCTGCGTTAAGATATTCTAGGTCTGAATACTTTTTACTAAGTTGTCTGAATAATACTAATGTAATTGGAATGTCTTAAGCTTTAGGCTAGGGAAAATAGTTCACTGAATTTTATTAGGACTGTGAAAGTAAATATTTTTAAGATTGCCTTTTATTTCATGTTACCAAGTGGAAGGTAAGTGATATCATTAGCGTTGTTATTTGTTAGACTTCTCCCAACAGGGTAAAAGCTTTACAATGGCAGTTCTGCCCTTCCTCCACCCTAGTTTGCTCTGTCTGATTTTAACTTTCCAGATTGTGGTTCGTTGTTTTTTTTTAAAAAAAAAAACACCTTTGAAATTCAGTTAGCTCATTCACGAAGAGCAGTGTCTTTGACAATAAAGACAGAGAAATGCATTCTGGGGAGGATGAATTCAAGTGCAGGGCAAAACTGCTTTAAAATTACCACTGTTTTTCAGGACATGGGTCTTTGTTCCTGATCATCTTAAATTTGAGTCTTCTGCTCTTTTGGGATGAGTCTGTCTTGTATTTATTCTATGCAATTACTAACTTTGTATTTTTTTTTCTTATTACTGTCACCTGCATTCGTGCTCCCCACCTTTCGTTGGCACGTCCTCTCTTCTTCTCCCCTTTCCTCAACCCCACCCCTTCACTGTGCTTCGCACCTGGGTACTTCACAAGACGTGGAAGATGTTAAATTTGTGATAAACTACGACTATCCGAACAGCTCTGAAGATTACGTGCACCGTATTGGCCGTACTGCACGTAGTACCAACAAAGGTACTGCCTACACCTTTTTCACACCAGGAAACCTGAAACAAGCCAGGGAGCTTATCAAAGTGTTGGAAGAAGCCAATCAAGCCATCAATCCAAAACTGATGCAGCTTGTGGACCACCGAGGAGGAGGAGGTGGTGGTGGAGGTAAAGGCATATGGGAAAAGGGCTACACAGGGAATAGGTTCCTCATTTTGAGGGAGGGAAGATAAAAGAGGGTAAGGGAGTAGTAAGCGCAAGTCCAAGATAACAAACAGATTAGTAATAAAGCTGTTCTGTACCCAAGGTCTCAACACGTTATGTAGATGTAGTATTTCTGTCCAACAGTGAGGTAATCCACTGTTTTACCTTAGCTGTAGATTTTTTTTTTCCTCCTGGTAAGGTCCTCACAGAGCTAATTTTACTCTAATTAATTAATTTGTTGCAGCTCCTACCTAAGCACAGGCAACAGGATGTGTGCGTGTGCATATGCAAAATTGAAGTTAGTAAAGGGATACACTGACTGTACCTTCGGGGGGCTAAGACTGTTTCCAAGTTAGTCCTGAATTTCCTATGTTTCTTTGTCTCCAAGCACATGCATTAAGAACCCTTTTTGAACTTCATATTTACACCTTGAACAAAATGAAGAGGCGTATGCACAGCTGTGCAGGGAAGTTACAGTCAGTCAAAAGAACTTGCTCCTTGTGGGCAAAATTGTGGATGTAGAAGGGGAGGAAGGGTGGCATAATTGTACCAGTTCATTGTTTAAAACTTGTTCATGGTACTAAATCTTAATATATCCATCACCAGGAGGTCGTTCTCGTTACCGAACGAGCAGTTCAGTAAACAACCCTAACCTGATGTACCAGGAGGAGTGTGACAGGAGGCTCCGGGGAGTGAAAGAGGGCCGGAGAGACTCAGGTGGCTTCAGAGACCGTGAGCGTGGTGACAGTTACGCCAACGGAGCCAACAAGACCTATGGCAGTGCCTACGGGAGCCCAAATTCCGCTTTTGGGGCAGCACAGAGCCAGTATGGTTACACTCAAGGGAGCTATGGAGCAGCTGCCTATGGCACGAGTGGCTATGGCACTGCAGAGTACAGTGCTAGTGGCTATGGTGCTAGCACCACAGCTGCCACCGCTGGGAGAACCTCACAAAGCACTACCCAACAGCAGTATGCAGGGATGGTGGGGCGCTGGCTATGGCACTGCAGAGTACAGTGCTAGTGGCTATGGTGCTAGCACCACAGCTGCCACCGCTGGGAGAACCTCACAAAGCACTACCCAACAGCAGTATGCAGGGATGGTGGGGCGCT